GTTTTTGACCGGGGCTGGGTTTGAACCTACCACCTCTGACATATGGGACCTGCGCCCTAACCTTTTGAGCCACAGGTGTCGCCTGGCTTTTCTTTTTTTTTTTTAGAGACAAGGTCTCCCTCTGGCTCAGGCTGGTCTCAAACTCCTGAGCTCAGGGCAATCCACCCACCTCGGCTTCCCAGAGTGCTAGGATTATAGGCATGATCCACCATGCGCAGCCTTCTCTCTGAGTTTATCAAGTGCTCAGGTCCTCCCTAAAGATAACTAGGGACTGTGAAACATGACTTTTGTTCCACTTCTTGCTTTCTTTCCTTCCCCAGTTCTTCTGGAACTTCAGACAGATTCAGCCGAATACTCAAGCACATCCTGACCCAGAGGAGGTGAGTACATTTACTGGAATCAGCTGACCGTGAGAGAGTACTTTGACAGACTCGGCATGAGAGCCTTTAACAGCCCACTACCAGGAAACTTCACCCTGTGACCATAAGCCTACATTCTGTTCCCCCAAGCACAGAAAAAGTCAGTCTGTGAATGCAAGCAGCATGAAAGCCAGTACACAGAAGGGCTCAGTCTGGGAAGGGGGACCCGGAATCAGCAGGGGCTGACTGTCTTTCTCCATCTCTGTAGCTACTACCCACTCTACCCACCTCAGGAAGACATGGCCATTGACTATGAGAATTTCTATGTCTATGCACAGCTGCCTGTCACCCCAGATGTCTTCATAATCCCATCAGAGCTGAAGTACTTTGTGAAGGTAGGTTTGAACTCCACTTTTTTTCCAGAAATACCAAAATTGGTCTTTGACTTTTCCTTCTAAACCTCTTAGCACTCACTCCTCATGGGCCTACTCATGGAGATAGTGGCCTCTGTGACCCCAGCAGTGAGGCCTCATTTCTTTGGGAGAGGTCATGGGACCAGAACATAAGTCTTTTGGTAAAATGCTTGAGTAGAGGGCCAGGCACAGCCACACATATAATCCTAGTTCTCTGGGAGGCTGAAGCAGGTGGATCACTTTAGTTCAGCAATTTGAGACCAGCCTGAACAAGAAGAGTAAAACCCTACGTCTACTTTAAAAAAAAAAAAAAAAGAAAGAAAAATTAGGCCAATGGAGTTGCCCATAGCTCAGTGGGTAGGGCACTGGCCACATACACTGAGGCTGGCAGATTCAAATCCGACCCAGGCCAGCTAAAACAAAAATGACAACTGCAACAACAAAAATAACAAAAAACTAGGTGTTGTGGCAGGCACCTATAGTCCCAGCTACTTGGGAGGCAAGAAAATCATTTAAGCACAAGAGTTTGAGGTTACTATGAGCTGTGATGCCACGGTGCTCTACCCAAGGCAAAAGCTTGAGACTCTGTCCCAAAGAAAAAGAGAAATTAGGCTGAGCATGGTGGTTCACGCCTGCAGTCCTAGGATTCTGGGAGGCCGAGGTGGGTGGATTGCCTGAGCTTAGGGGTTAGTTTGAGACCAGCCTGAGCAAAGCAAGACCCCATCTCTAAAAAATATCAGAGTGTTATGCTGGTTACTTGTAGTCCTAGCTCCTTGGAAGGCTGAGGCAAAAGGATCATTTGAGCACAAGAGTTTGAGGTTGCTGTGAGCTATGATGCGATGTCACTCTACTGAGGTTGACAAAGTAAAAACTCTGTCTCAGAGAAAAATTAGCCAGGTATGCTAGTACATGCCTATAGTCTCAGCTACTCAAGAGGCTGAGATAAGAGGATTGCTTGAGCCCAGGAATTGGAGGTTGCTGTGAGCTATGATACCATAGCACTCTAGCCTGGGGCAACAGTGACACTATCTCAGAAAAAAGGAAAAAAATGCTTGAGTAGATAGTATTCCCCTGCTCCCCTCTCCTTCCCCCAGAGACTGAGAACACAGGTGGTGAATAGGGAGGCCACAAATGATGGTTCTCACCAGGGCCATGCCAGGGCGACCGGGGGAACATTTCACATATGCACTTGCCTGCTCCCTCCCCCCAGTCTGACCGTGACCTCCAACTGAGCTCAGCTGAGAGTACCTCAAAGATGCTCTTAGGTCATTCTGATCTCTGCCTTGGCCACCTTGGAATTGGGCCCCTCACAGGGAATCCACCCTGACCAGTCCCCTCTTGCCAAACCAGAGCCTGTTCAACCTCAAAAGTTACAGGATTTTTTTCACATGGGTGAACAGTAAACAGCTAGATCAGGTTTGTCTCCCAAGTATGGGAACTGATTGTCATTCTGCCAAGTCACCTCATTCTTTATTCTATTTGAGAGACTCAATGGGAATCCAAAGTTTTCCAGTAATAAGTTAACATATTTGGCTCGGCGCCTATAGCTCAACTGGCTAAGGCGCCAGCCAC